TGTCTCTAATGCTGGTAATACGCTTGCAATTTTCTTTATATTTTCGTTACTTATGTACATATTGTACAGACTACGAGTCCCAAGTGATAGAGTATCAATTGTTGGACATTTGCTGACGAATTTGAAGAATTCATCGCTGTATTCACAAATTGCGAACATCCGTAAACTTTTCAGTCGATCGAATGAAAATGGAATTTTGGGAAATAATTCATCTGCCCCTAGATACACATTAATCTCGAATTCATTCAAACTTTTAAAATGAATCGTATCCCCTTCGTAGCTTAATTCTTCCTTGGACATGACATTTATTTTGAGTCTTGCAACTGATTGTAAATACTTGCTTAAGTTTGCAAACAACTGCATATTCAATCCTGACCACAAGTACACTTCGAAATATTTCAATTGTGGATTCAATCGGCAGGCTGTCTCAATGGATTTTTTGCATGAATCGATGAGTCTTCCATGTGAAACTTCAATTGTCAGTTCCATTAATTTTGGCATAGGTTTGTCGATATCCATAATATTACCTTTGCTATTGTAACGTAATGAATTTATATTTGGAAAAAGCCAATCGATACTGTTTGGTCCCAAGCTACAATACTTCAAATAAACGTGTTGAACCTTTGAAAATGGTTTTTGGAATTTATTCAAAATTGTTATTTCTCTAATATTGATTTCCCACACATTAATACAGTATTCATTTAAGTAATTTAAAAAACACTCATGAACACTCGACAAAGTTGGAACGATTTTCGGATCGGCTTTAATATTCATGTTCCTTATCAAGTGTCCAAGATAGCGTACAAACTGAAAGCAGGTTTTTACATCCAAAAAACTAAATTCCGAATAGAGATCTGAGATGGTGATAGCAGGCTCCATAGAAATATAAAGATGTGAACCAAATTTATATTCTCGTACCAATGTGCATTTAGAAACACTTCTCAAATATTTGTTGGAATCAGCTACATTCAGTAGATCTTTCAAATCCAAATACATAAAAATATGTTCGAGACAATCGAAATTGACGTCAGTAATTTTTTTTTCTTCGGTTAATTGGTCGTGATTTTCTAAATTCTGTCGTTTAATTCGTTGAATCTCAAGTCGTTTACTCTTTCTTTTTCCCCAGATTGTTTTTTCTTCATGTTGATTTTCTTTTGTGGTCTCCATTTTCGATGATGTCTTAAAAAGTACACTTTTAATGGTAAAATTAAAACTCACTTTAAAAATTCAAGTTTAAAATTGCGGTGTTTCTAATGTGATGATATGTAGTCAACAGTCTGAAGGCAACTAACATTGAATGTCACCAAAAGGTGACAAAAACATACCAATGTCAAACAATGAAAGAACCATGGACTTTGAACAAATAGTAACGACTACCAGCGACAGGGATATATGTTGTCATTAGTCCTCACTCAAACAGAAAGTATTATCAACCGTAGGCTTGACAGTATTATTAAGATTATTTTCAGATATTAGATAGACAGATTTGCAATCCATGAACCTGTTCGGCGAACATTTCATTTTCTACGAATGATCGACCAACCCCACACAATTCATACGAATGAACGTAAAATGTCAGAAAAAAGAAAAAAGTGCTAAATTCATTAGATTCAATTCTAATAATTCTAGAGTTTAGACACATGATTCGAAAATAACCGAACAAAAAACAAATTAACGAATGGCGTAGAAGTTCTATTCGATTTCTGAATGTACATTGTAAACGTACAGCCATGCATTGAAATAGATGCATGTTCTTTTTTTTTGTTTACTTTTTATTATAAAAAGTTCAAAACATTTCAAACTGGTTTAGTTCAAAAAACTAAAAAAGACGAAAACAAATTTGATTGGTCCAAATGTAATATTAATTGAATGCTGCCAACTTCATATTGACACGTCAATTTCGAAACGTCATATTGCATCAAGTTGATTTATTTCGGACAGCAAACGAGCACGAACCACAAGTAGACAATCACTATTCGCCGTATACGGAGACACACTTTGTACCGCAATGAATTTCCAATCGATTTGCGACCACCGCAAATTTGTGGAAAAGGTGAGCAAACTTTTTTATTATTTGTTAACAAAATTCAAATATCCATCTGTATATAAAGTATTTCGATTCTTCTGGCAGTTAATCGTTTAATCAATATTTGAAGTCCATTAGATTACATAGAAAGTGAAAAATACAGATGCGATTTAATTTCAAAAATTAAATTCCATTTCTTGAACTGAAAGATGGTGAATTGTGCAACCAATAATATCTATACAGTTTAATACAGTTCAGTTGCTTGCGTCACAGTATTGTGCTGTTGTTGCATTTGCGAATGTATCGTACGACAGTGTCACTGTGTTAGTTGTAGCTGTACTTTGAAAATGATATACCTTCTTGATTATTACGTTCTCTCATTATATTGATTTCTGCTCATTCTCTTCTTTAGATACCAAAGGCAACTTTTAGAATAGTTTCCCGTCAAAGGGATGCCATCAAATGTGCACCACCACCATCGTCGTTTAATTTTTTCCGTCCCTGGGTTGATCATGCAAATGATAAAACAAATTCGGAAAACAAAAGTGATGCGCAACTGTATTTGAATCGAAATTCAGACAACATTAAGATGCAAACCGACAACGATAGCGAATGTTTAAAGAAGATATGCAACACCAATGAATTCTCATATGAAATACGAAGTGATGGGAATTCAGACGACGATCGCAAAGAGATTGAGAAGACAGCAGTGACGAAAATCGATCAAACACCTGAAAATAGACGAAAAAAACATAAATGTTTTTCATGTGAATATGTTACATTGCATAAAGGTCATTTCGAAAAACATGCTCGAATCCACTTGGGTCGACGTTTCAAATGTGATTTATGTCAAAGGGGTTTTTATACGACTGTTCATTTGAAAAAACATAAACGACTCCACCGAATGGGGTTAGTAGATACAAAAGATGCTCCAAAATGCAAAATATGTGACGAAAAATTTTCAAACGAAAGAAATTTGTCCGACCATCATAGCTGTGTAATGACATTTGAATGCGAAATTTGTCAAAAAAAATTTGCTAACAAATATAGTTTAGACAGTCATTTAGAAGTTCATGTACAGTCACTGACGTCCAGCTATGGAACATGTGGTCAGGGACTTGGAAACGAAGACAATAAACAGATGCAAGAGATATTCGAAACCACGTTTGATTCGGTGCAACAAGTATCGAGGGATGAGAGCGAAAGGACAGCGACAAAAAGTGCAAAAATCGACACTAACAATGCTATATACGGGATCACCACTTAGAAATTGACAAAAATTCCAATTTTGATGAACTGATTATTATATTTTTCGTTTGCTTATAAACTGAATAAACGCATCCACTACGATGGAGAAGTACCTACAGCAGAACAATAACGAACTATTATTTTTTTTTTTAAATTTTGTAACTTTTTTTTTACTTTTTTTATATAACTCTTTATTGCCATTTAGATGCCAGTTCAACTGCCTGATGAAACAGTAGCCAAGAAAAATTCCTTCGATTTACACGAAAAAAAGACCAAATTACATTTTGCTTTATATTTTTTTAAATATTTTGACTGTACCACATAAATGTAAAGGTAATAAACGCTCAATTTTTCCGATTTTTTGGAATTGAACGAAAGGGGCGTGGCCGACTTCTCTCATTAAAAAAGTAGAGAGAAAAAGAGAAAAAAGAAGGTATTTGCTTTTCAACACTTAATTTAATTAAATCCTGTACTTCTTTTCATAAATTTGCACTTCTCAATAGCTGCGCTGCAGCTATTCACAGAATTGCATTAAATGCATTGTCATTCACCGGCTGATAGCAAAAAAACAGGTAAAAATCTGAAATGAAGCGGTAAAATTTGAAAATGTTTCATTGCCGATACAATTCGAATGAATGTTCTCTTCATCGATTGTGTGCGCCTCCCACCGGTCCGGAGTTGTACTACATAGACATTGACGTCGATGTGAAACAACACAAGAAGAAGAACACACATCAGTGAAAGAAGAAAAAGAAATAGACTCACAAGCAAAACTACAACAAAAGTCATTCATTTGCCAATTCATTGTGTTTTTCTGTCATATTTTTCATAAATAAATCACACGAAATGCAATCATTTGTGTTTGGCTGTAATAAAAAAGAATTTTTTTTTGAAATTTGATAAGAGTGAGTTAAATGTTTCCAATCGTAGCAAAAGAACGATTTGTAGCTAGAGTTGTATTGTATTTTATTGTGGGTATAAAAGATAAACAAGATCGGCGACAATCCCACTCATTTACATTCCACCAAATCAACGCAATTGAATTTAATTAGAATCAATTTTGTTGTGAATATGTTTGTGTGTGTGTGTCGAATGCGGAAGAAAAAGTGAAAATTCATTCCGAGAAATTTTTTTCTTAATAAAAAAAAGTCTTTGATCGGAAATACGATATTCGCATCGCAAGTGAATGGGACCATGTATACGAATGTATTTGTATGTGTATGTGCTAGTGTGTAGTTTTTGTTTGTTTCACTCTCTGGTGCAATGCCGTGCCATTCCGATTCGCTACGCTATATTTTAATACATTATTCGTTTTTTTTGACTGAACAAATATAAATATGATTAGAAGGAATGGACAGTGAACGCGCGCGACATATCCAAACACATAAATGCATGTATGCCACACGGTGCATGTGTGTATGGGTTGGAGCCAGTGAAATGTATGTCAGTATCGGTTGATTGAAATCAATTAATAATATATGGTTGTTGTTGCCACTTTGGCGTTGTGGTGAAGGTACCTTGTGATGAGATAGACTGAACGATGATGCACAGCAGAAAAAAACACAAACGGGATGGCATACACTCGTGTCATGTTCGTACATCTTAAATCAAGCGAACAACTCAATGATCGCACTCACTTGTTTCCTCTCATTGCATCTCTATCTCACTCTCTCTCTCGTTCTCTCGGTCTTGCTCTCGCCACTTTTGCTGTGCCGTTTCATCTGTTATTCAATTATTCTCATGAATTTTAAAATGCCATTGGCTGTATGACACGCGCCTCGTCTCTCATAAATTATTCGGTGTGTTTTAATCAATGTTTACGCTTTTGGCTTTCGGTCACTTTTGCAAATATTGACGATTCTTCATTATTATGTGTAGTTTGTCGAACGCATTATTCATATTTTGCATGCTACGGCCTGTCGGTGGGGTAATATCGTGCCGTGTGTGAGAGAGATCAAATGGAATAGTCGTTGTGGAAAGTAAAATTGTGTTTTTTTAAGCGGATTTTTATTAGAGAATGTCGCAATTTTGTTGAGAATCCAAGCGTAGCCAAACTACTGTGACTTGTTCGTATGGCACAAACTATGACTTATTCGAAGTTTCTCAAAGATGAAGTTTAACGAACAGTTTTTGACGTAAAAAGTGAAATCTTTAAGAGAAGATTAGAAATGATCGGAAACAAAAGAACTTCGATGATGAAAACAGTGTTCAAAGGTTGGAAAAACACAAAAAAAAATTGAAAATGCTTCAATTTTTTTAGAAAATAGTTTGAAATTTTTTTCTGAAAATTAAAAGCACAAAGACATTCAGTTCGCGAAAACAATTCCCCAAAGCCAAAAAGTTCCCAAAAAAACGAAACAGTATTCAAAAGCATTCCCAGGTATACGATTGTTTGAAACGAGCATTAAGTTGATAAAGAATGCGAATTCAAAGACCCCAATTAAAAAGTGAAAATATTACCGAAAATGGTGTAAAAAAGAACAAAAACAGTCGTAAACAAATGTATGCAATTATTTAAACCGATTCAAAATTTTGTGATAACTATTTGGGGCCATTCATTTTAAAAGGCGTCGTCTTGTTGTTTGTTTTATCAACGAACGAAAAATAAATAAACAAAATCCCACTCGTTTGGTTTGCCTTGACTTGTTTTATTTGCATATATGAATAGCAAATGTCTTATCTTCGGATGTGTTGTGTTCCCACCATGTTTCATGACTCAGTCGACGCCGATTATTTACGCATTATTATTGTGTGATTCTTTTCTTCATCGTTCTACATTTTCTTGAATGCTAGCTTGAATGTGAAAGGAACGATTCGTGTAACAAAAATTAGTGTTCAGTTAATTTCCGGGACAATAGTAGACTCTTTCTAATCATAATTGAAATTGAGAAGCCATACAAAGTCATTGTATGCGAATGGAAATTAAGTGTGGCAGCCAACTGTGTAATTTGTTTCGTTGTACACAAAGTGTTGGTGCGTGAACTGAATTTCTTCCGACATGTTGCTGTGTATTCAGCATCTTGAACTACATTGAAAACGGTTCTTTCTTTTGTTTTGTCGATGTGTGCGTGTGTGTGTGTGTATTTTGGTTAGAGATTTTTGCTATAGCGAGCGCATTTTTATCATTTCTTCGGCGCAATGAATTGCGAGAGCAACATATTTTGCAATTTTTCAATTATTCATCTGCATATTTTAGACATGAGATCGAGTTCTATATAACCGATGCGCACCCACAGTCAGATGGTGTTGCTCATACATAACATAGCATTACAACTATAATTATTTTGCGATTTTTCAACATCGTTTTTTTTGCGGATGGGAAAATGCTTCATTCCACTTTTACTTTTTGATGCAACCGATAATCGTGGGAAGTTCGCTGATTACTTGATGGAAATTATTGTAGTTTTTGGCGAAAAAATCACAAGATTTTTTTGCGCAAAGACTGATAGACAACGAATAACGAGTGATTCGTAACAGAAGTAAAGTAGATAGGGATGGTTCGACATCGCTGTTGATTTTGACAACAATTTTGTAGAGATTTTTTTTCTTTATACTAAACTGTAACTACAGATTTAAAGATCCATGAAATTTTAATCGCGAAAATAATGTTGTTTAATTGATAAGTGAATATATTTTGCACGATTAAGACTGAACGGTTGATTTATAGCGTGTAGTTCTCAGTGGTCATTGACATGCAGAGTGATTTATTAAAGCGAAGCGTGACTTCCCTTTCAATTAATAATCTCCAAGGCGAAATTTTGCAAGAATTGAATTTTTGCACCTTGTTATAAATTTGATTTTAATCATCGCCATTTGAAATGAGTAAAAAGCACCACTTTTAACTCAGCGTCAAGAGTGATTTGTCCTATTTATTCCGATTTGTGAGAATGTGATGTTATATTTTGAGTCTAACATTAGAGTCAACACATTTAGTGTTTATTGGATACTTGCAAATATTCTTTCATTGAGTTTAGCCAATTTTTCGGACTTAGTCTGATTTTGATGTTTGATCTGATTTTCTCCATTGTTTGCATACACTAATTCCATAAATTCTAATTTGTATCTTTTCAGATTTTCTCCAAATTTTTTGTTAAAATTCTCCCTCTTTTGAATTGGCACGATTTAAATGTGATTTAAGAAAGACGTCGACCTTTGGAACCCCAAACGATAAATTGAGAGCGGCTGTTTGCTCTCTTGGTGATAGGGAAAACATTGAAAATTACGATAAGTACCAACGAAAACGAATGCGTACACGATGAGTTGGCTACGTCCCAGTCCGTTGCGACAGAGTTTTACACGAACCAGTCGTAGCCGATCCATCGACGCAACGAATACGGAATGTGATCCAAAGGCATGCTATGACAGTTTCTGCAAACATTGGCAACAAATTCATGAAATCATTCTGCGGGCAGAAGTAAGTAGATAGAGTCGGAAATATTTCACTAAAATGTCTAATGTATTCCAAAAATACTAAAAAAAATACGTTCATATTTGCAGACTTCAAGCGGAACGAGCCATGACGATGTTCTTGGTGTGGTCAGTCATTTAGATCATATGGTAACACTTTTGCTATTGGAATTGCACAATTGTAATAAGTATCCGCCGCCAGCGTCACAAGCAGCACCACCATCACCTTGCCTAGAATATTTGCTTAGCGAAAATCTACTCGACAAACTCTATGAATGGAGCAAAACAACTGAAAGGTATGCATTTTTATGAAAAATTCAATTCTATTATCCAATGAAATGACATAATTTGTGATTGATAATTGCTTACTTATTCATTCTGTAGATATTCTGATGCCGTTCGATTGGAGCAATTGAAATTGTATGAACAGTTAGTCACGCATTCTCGTCATCAGCTTTTGTTAGTGCACGAATCATTTTTACGACCATTGCTTAAGGTACTAACCTCCAGTTTGGGCGTTAAATATCCAACCGATGTTGAAAAGAGACTTGTTATTTTGCTGAATCAATTATGCGTCGTCTTAATGCAAAATGTTAATTTACTCGATTTATTCTTTTGCTCAACGTCGCAACATCAACAAGGAAGCGATGAAACTAAGTAAGAATTTTTGGAGTTTTTTTTTTCATAATTTTTAGTAATTTCTCATTTTTTCCATATTTCAGTTTCATCATATTTTCACTGTTGTTGCCGTACGTTCACAGTGAAGGATCGCTTGGCCATCAAGCTCGCGATGCACTATTGTTGTGCATGTCATTGTCGCAAAAAAACTCAAATGTTGGCACTTATATTGCGAAATACTCATCAATGTGTCCTGTACTCGTCACCGGCTTAGGTGGCCTATACTCTTCACTACCAAATAGCTTTGATATCGGTCACAGTGATTGGTATCGAATAACACCGGACGATGTGGCCGATATACCAAAACTCACATTGTTTATGAATTGCCTTGAATTTTGTAATGCCGTCGTTCAAGTTGCTCATGATCTTATTAAACAACAATTGCTCGATTTTATGTATCAAGGATTCATTGTACCAGTTCTTGGACCGGCTCTGTTACAGGTAAAATCATCGACAACTCTTGGACCTTTCACCTCTCAATGGCTAAAATTTTATTTCCAATCATTTGCACACAAATTTTCTAATTGTATCCATAGCATTTGGGCTACTTTCACTCTATCTAAAAAGAATATCATAATTTTGCTCGTCTCTCGTTTGTAAAGTAACACTAGCTGTGTACTAATTTCGAAGCTATCGAAAATTCAGACAAATTTCGCTCGAAATGCTATGAATACATTTGGATGTAACCTTTTATTTTGCCTTCTGTCAATCTTCTTTTGGGTTTCCTTGGTATTTTATGTCAATGTATAAATTGCTGGGCCGTCGGCTTTTCATCGTGCTGTAAGGATATGCTTGATGTTCGTGCAAGGCGAATGCAGCGAATCAACGTGAAATAATTTATCGTTGTCATTTGTAAATGTTTGTGTCCGCATGTAATTCATTACTCTATTGACTCATTTATCTACATATCATAAAATCTAATTCATCTAAAGCAAATTTTTACTATTTTTTTTTGGAAAATTGGGTTTTTTTTCGCATTTTGTTTGCTAATGCTAAAGGTTAATGCCAAACCGTTTCACCATTTTTAATGCTTTCATTTAATTTTATGGGAAAATTAATATTGGTTTAATAAGTTTAAAAAATTTAAAATCATTGAGAACTGATTGAATTTTTTAACCGAACATTTTCTTTGGAAATTTCAAATTTTTCAAGATTTTTTTTTACTTCAAATTATTTTTATCAGTTTTAAGCGGATTTTGATTGGGTCGAATTTAAATGAGTAAAATATCTCTTTTTCCATCAATTTCATAATTTAATCTTTTTTGTTCCGTCAGTTTTTTTTATAATTTTTTTTCATTTTTCAAAAATTGTGAAAATTTGTCATGAAACATTGTTAAATAATCGTCAACAAAATTTTCAAAAAATGTCTCAAGATTCTGCTATAAATATCATTTACCCTTAAACTCTAAAATTTCGTATTCAAATAGTAGAATCAACTGTAATTTAAGATAATGAAAACTATGGTGAAGGTTTGTGTTCTTCTCTCTTACACTCCCCCACTCTCTACTTCTCAAATATCTTTCGTAGACTTAACAGTGACTAAAAACTCGATAAACGTCAAGTCTAAACCTGTTTTATGCGCACAATTCCCAACCAAATGCAACACAAAAATTTACAAATGTCTAATAAAAACCAATGCACACTGTTCACATGTCATCGGGATCAAAGTAGAAAAAAAACACACACACACCTCCTAAAAATCCGAAATAAAAGTCCGATTCATTTGAAATGCCCAAGAATTTAGCGTTAACATATCTGAGTGAAATCCGATTGCAGATTTTCAAAGGAGCCAACCAATTCCAGACAAACAATGCATCACAAATAACGGCAATGGCCTATCTCGATTTGATATTGCGCTCTGTCACCGAACCGGCTTTGTTGAAGATTTTCGTGCAATTTTTGCTGGACGAAACGAAATTCGATGGCGAACGAATTTTGGATGTTTTAGTGGAGCGATTGCTGTCGAATGATAATCGAGTAAGTGTAAAAAATTTAAATATACATATATTATAAAAAGCTAATATGAATTTCTATTTTCAGTTGTGCATTGTGACGTTATCTCTATTCGATACCCTGTTGAGTTTATACTGTGAGGATATAATGCTTGAATTGCTGTTGAAGTATTTATTACCCGGTCGTCATATACCAATATTGCATCGGCATAAAATCAATAAAATCGATCCATATTCGACGGCTGTTGAGTTCTTCTTCGATTTGTCGCCGGAAATAATGCACCAACCAAATGAGTCTGTGGCACATCAACAAATACAACCAATTAGCAAAACAATCGGAGCCAATTGGAATCATTATGGTTTGCATTCGGGTGATTCATTGTATTCAAATTATCATGCATATTTATGTGATGCCAGACAACGAATTAATCATTGTAAAGCGGCTTGTAATAATTGGTCGAATTCATATCGATACCAAAAACATCCGGCGAATAAGAAAAACGAACGCTCATTGGAAATTATTAAGAGTTTATTGAGCGAACTCGGATATGAGTCGAATGGCAGCAACATCGATGCGAACATTGATAAGGGCACAAAGCAATTGGATAGCTTGCAGTCACTTGGCGAAAGCAGCGGTTATGAAAGTTTGAGGTATCGATTTGAAGAGGATGAATCCACGTCAACGACCAATGGAATGAGTACAATTTCATCATCGCCGCCGGTTGAAGTGAACAATTTTGAAAATATCGACGCAGATGGATGCATTAAACGAAAGTATGAAACGTGGAAATTGTCGAGTAGACGACCAGAACCTGTGATTGACTTAGATTTTACTGAAGATCTTTTTACACAAGGGACCGTATCATTGGGTAAGATCTTTTTTATTTTACAAATATGAGACACTTTTTTCGGCATTTTTATTTTATTTATTTATATCTATTGTAAAAAAATTGGAAAAATCGAAAAAAAATTAAATTTTTTTTATTTTTTTATTTCACAATATTTTAATTAAAATTTATTATTGTCGAAAAAGTCTCAAAATACTTCAGAAAAAATCCACTTTAATAATATTCGCCTCTTCAAAAATCTCCGTAGGTCCCTTCTTAAGTGCTCTTCTTCGAAAATTGCAAACATTTACCAGTAATGGAATTTATGTGAATTTCCATTTAACCGGATTGATATCACGCTTGGCATGGTATCCATTGCCATTGGTACATTCGATATTATTGCGACCTGATATTCCAGTGACATCAGATACACCGTCATTGCATCAAGTATTGAAAATTCTCAAGCAACAAATCGACGCCGAACTGCCGGTGTGCGAAGAATCACTGGAGCACATTGATGCCGGCCGAACAAATTTAATCGAACGTGAATTTCGACTAGTGAATGCACGAAATAATGCGTTTGAAATAACCAAAACACCCGGACCAAATGGTGTTAAATATCCACAAGCGATAAATACATCATCGATAACACCACCACAACTCACGCCCAGTTCCTCATACGATCCATTTAAACGGACCGAAAATAGACGGAAAAGTATCAAAACGTCGTTCAAAGAGATGTTCCGACGACCATCAAGTGGACACAGCAACAGCAGCAATAGCAGCGGAGGTAAGAATTTTCGTGTACCACACATTTTTGTTTTGCATTGATTGAAGAGTGTGAAAAAAACAACAACAAGTAGATGACGTGTGTGTGTGTATGAGATTGCTTTTTAGTATCTAGACATTCAAATGACAGCAAAAATATAGATTCTCTGGCAACACGAAGCATACATCAATTTGCCATAATTTTAACTTCGATTTTGAATGTTTCCGTCAACTTTTTGAGCACCACAGCTCTCTCCCACAAACAAATACAGGGGTTAAGAATTTTATTTTTTCTACCGGAACTTTGTTTTTGGATTTTTTTTAATTTAAAAAAAAAATCGAACTTTTTTGAAATATTTTTTTTTTGAAAAATTCAAACTTTTCCAAATGATAAAAAAAATCAGAAAAAAACTCCAAAAAAAGTTTAATCTAAAAGTGAATTTTAATAATTCCCCCCAAACCGTACAATTTTCACAAAATAACCCCACGTCAGAATTGATTTATTCAACGTAAATTTAAGTTTAACCTTCGATCGATCGATTGCGCTTATTTTTAACACAAAAACCCATCAACATTAGCCATTTATATCATTCGTGACTAACCGTCCTAGTTTCATTCTAATGGTTCCCCCCGCTCAAATTACCATCACAAATCACTATAGGCTTCGGCTCAATCAGCAAATGTTATTTTCGTCAAAATCATTTACAAGCAGTTTTATACATTTATATTCAGTGCTTTCATTCAATTTGGCTTCAACATGAAAATCTAAATTTCTTTTTCCGTATATTTTTTCTATTGTCATTCTTATCAGGTTTGTCGCAAATTCTAGAATTCTTCACCGGTAAATATCATTTGCTTTAATTGTTCTCGTTAATACTATTTCAATGGTGTATATTTTTATCAAGTGGTGTCGGTGTATTTTCTATATAGTGTCCTTGCATGTGCCGTTTTTATTTATTTATTATGTAATCATATCTAACACCTGGTCTCTATATATTGTCATGCGTTGCTTTTGTATACTAACCCAATTTGCATGGTTCATTCTCATTATTTCCCTTTTAATTAATTAAGAAGGTCATTACTGATACACACATTTATCGGTGACCTTTTTGACGAACATTTTTTTTTTTAATTGAAATTTTTAACAATTTTTTTTACTGTAGCTTAATTGTATCACGTAATTTGAAAAAAAGGAGATATTCGTGGAAATGGAACCAATGTGTGAGAAAGTATGATTATTTGAATACGGTTTTTCTTGAATTACAAAAAAACTGATTTTAGACAAGGTTTCGAGTTGTAACGTACGACAGATAGGACCTACTTGTCCAATGTCAACTATGGTATTTTGAAAAGAGATACAGAACTAACACAGTATTGTGTTTCTATCAATTTTCTCAAATTTTTCACACAAATATCCTAAGAATCCCCACAAAAGAGTCTTTTTCCACGACATACCCTTTTGTATATATACCTTCATTGGCATGCATTAGTAGTAAATTAAACGTTGATTTCCACCTCAATACTTATCAAAATTATCTCTGCCATCAATTTTGTAGGTTCATCAAATGCGACTGTTCGTGAATTGTCACCGTCGTCACCGGCTCATGCATCCTATGATTCTCTGTCCAATGATAGTTCAACGTATTCATCAATCGATGCGATATCATGTTCATCATCGACCGGTGCTGTTACCACCACCAACAATAAGCGAATGCGTGATCTAGCCCTGTGTGCTGTTCTACTCGACGAATGGCTCAAAGAATTGGCTGCAATTTCACAAGAGCAAAGCATTGTTCTCCTAACCGATACTTTTATCAATCATTTTTGATCGTGAAACAAACGTCCAACGCATATATTTTCAACGCACAAACAGAATCTATGTAGATTTTTATGTAATATACAAATAACTACGTTAATTGCATGGCATTTGATCTATCCATCGATAGATGGCGTGCATGTCACAATGGTGGGAAAACTCATGAATGAAAGAACGAGACAAACACATCTATAGTTCAATTTTAGTATTACGGTGAACCAGCCAGAGAGTACCATTTGGCGCCGTTGATATCATTAGTGCTCAAAATATTTGAAAAATCTCTAAGCAATTTTTACTGTGTTTTTTGTGTGCATTAACACTCAACACCAACAAATGTACATATGAGATATTTTATATGGATAATTAGTAATTAATTGAACAGAGTGTCAATGTATGGTTTTTTTTTGCTCTTTATTTAGTCGGTTAAGCAATTTTTTTCTGTTTCTTCTTTTTAACCAGTTTTTTTTTTAAATAATATATATTCACGCCCTCCCAGTTTTTTTATGATTCTCTTTTTTTCCTGTTCAGAGTTTTATAGAGATAATAAAATTTAGTTTGTAAGAGAAAAGACGTGCAAAAAAGATTAGCAAAGACGAGAATGTATTTTGCTTTGGAGAAAATTAAAGATGAAAATCCTAAAAATCTTGTTACTATGACATATGTACAAATGATCATTAAAATTAATAAAAAAAAAACAAATAAATTTTTCACATCTTTGTTGAGAATTTATTGGATTTTAATTGAAGTCGTTGGTGGATTTTTTTCAACTAAAAAAGAACAAATTAATTATTTTTAATTTTTTGACTCAAAATGGATTATTTTGACTGAACTTTTGATTTGAACAAATCGACGCTAAGAGAACTCCAAAAGTACTCGCTTCGTGGTCTAACACCTATCTCTTATCGAGAACAGCTCGGGGTTAATTATAACTATATCTAAATCAGAACTATAGTTCTGAATTATAATTCAGCCAAAAATGTGTTTTTTTCTTAATATTTGTATGAAAATACTGAATTTTACTGTTTTTTTTCGATAAAATTTGCAATTTACCTGTATAAAATTCGTGTGTTTATTTTATCATTTTTGAATTCTCCGCCCGATTTTAATTGGAAATGAGTCAAAATTATGAAAAGTCGCTCTTTTCATATTTGTACCGAAGATCTACACAATTGAATAAAAAAAAATTCAGACGCATATTGTACAAACCAATGATGCAATTTTACTAGTTTTTCCATCTACTACAACCAGACAATATATTTAGCTGCCGTCATCTGGATATTTCAGCTCATCTGGATGCCGTCAACAGATGATGCGAAGTGAAAACAATAGAAGTGATTGTTATAGTAATACCAGTATATAACAAGCTTATATACCTATAACAATCACTTCTATTGTTTTCACTTTGTATCATCTGCTGACGATATCCAGATGAGCTGTAATATCCAGATGACGACAGCTAAATATATTGTCTGACTACAACGCCCTATTCACGAAGTTCATGTCAGAGAAGATCATGTCACGGTGTCATCGAACGATTTTTAAAAAAAGTCGCTACTACGACAAGAACCGTTGCTATAAACTTTATTTATTTGAAACTACCATGCAATGCTAGGTAAGACCTGCATTATTGTCATATTGATAAAACTTTGTTAAATATAAAATGGTATTTTACGATTTTTTCTTGGAAGACGCTTAAAAACGTCGCGCAAATTCGAATGGAGCCATCAAAAAATGACTTAAATAATCAATGATAATAATAAAGGGATAAAAAACCAAAGAACGACAAGTTGATAAAGACGACACGGTTCATTGAAAACCCGCCGTCGTCGAAATGCGACAGTTTCACTTCCGGATTTTTTTTTCGGTCTACGCTTTTTCCGCTCAACATACGAGACATCCATTGACGAGCGTCAAAGCGACATTCTGCTAAAATTTTCTTTTCAAAGTTTTTCATTTTCCCAAAAATACAATACTTTCATTGATAAATTCCAAAATCAATTGATCACAGTGTGTTGTATGAATGAGTTATATATTTCAATATCACAGTATTGATTGTCTGTTACTATCAGACAATGATTTTTGAAAACTACTCACAGACACCATTCCGAGTAATTCAAATGCCTAACGTTCAACACTTTGCATATTGGATGTGACCGCCGTCTGGTTCGGCGACAAGCTGTCTTGAACATTTTTCTAATAAATATAATGGTACTTAATTATATTTGGTTGCTTATAAGGCGCACCGCTTATAAAGCCAAATGGAAGTATGCAGATGGCATTCAGTTGTAATTTTTACTTGTCGAAGTAACATCTTCAGAATTTTTCCAATTATTTAAAAATAAAAAAAAATAAAAAATAGTTTTGCTCTCAAAATAAAGTGAGTTAAAAAAAAATTGTGGAAAAAATATCAGTTAAACAAGTAACAAAAAACAAGTAAAAAAAAAAATTAGTAAAAATGTCGTGTATCAAATGGATGGAAAAGCGTATCGTCAACATCAAACGTACATTTAATATGCAAAGTAAAAACGGCGACCAATTGAACATATCTGACGTGAACATCGACTGCTTGGAGCATATTTGCAAATATTTGCCGCTTAACGATCTTTTAAATGTGGCCGATACAAGTGATTACTTTCGTGAAGCGGCCCGTATGGTGTTTGCCCAACGATATCGCAATACAAGCGTTCAACTAAATGGAGTGCATTCGTCATCAAAGCGTAAAATTTCAAAGAGTCCATGCGTTCGTATTCGGGATACAAAAAGTTGTTTCCAGGTTCTACGTTCTTTTGGCCATTTAATATCCCAACTCGAAATCACCGACGAGTATGAAAATAAACCAAACACCCATGTATACAAGTATATTTTCATTTACATAAACAAATATTGTACGCAGTCATTGTCGACCATCAAATTTCAAATGATGCCAAAGAATTGTTTCTTTGAAATATTCAAGAAGCCATTCTCGAATATGAAAACGGTTGAGATCTTCTGTTGTAGTTTCCACGGTGAATTGATGCCATTCAACCAACTATTTCCCAGCGTCGAAACGATAAAAATGGACTTTATTGAACTCAGCGATCTATCATGCATTGAACAGAATTTTTCCGATTTAAAACATCTTCAGCTGACAACGTGCAAGGAAAATATCGTCGCTACACTACGATTGAATCCACAACTCCGGCAATTTACCACCAAATGTATTTGCGATACAGATATCTTGCAAATCATTTCGCAGCATCTGAAAAATCTCGAAAATCTGCAGGTGGTGTGTGATCGCGATGAATTTACCAGTTTTAATGGTGCACCAATTCCGTTTAAAAGTGTGAAAAAGTTCCAGCTCGATTTTTCCCATTCGAAACGATCGTTTCCGAAAATTCCACTGGTTTTTGAGCAACTTGAAGAAGTGTCGATTTGGACCAATTACCAATTGAACAACGAATTTCATGATTTTATCATGAAACATAGTACGATTATGCAATTGAATTTACCATTGAATAGCAATTGTGCCGAGAGCATTACAGAAGATCAATTTGATTTTTTGAAAGACGTTCAAGGGCTGAAAGAACTCAATCTAAGCCGATTCATCTTTTCGACAAATGAAGCGATTCAATTGTTTGCCGAATTTAAAAGTTTAAACAAATTTTCGTTTACGTTACAATGTGATGGGAAATACTTGGAGTTGATCGATCGCTCGATGAACAGGTGGTCAGTGAAAAAAGATCGATACTCCGTACGGCAGTTGCAGGTGGCATTGATTCGAAAACAATCCGAGTAAATGAGCATCTCAATCGGACATTCGTCGGACTCATAGCACCAATCTCTAATTGATCGTGTGAAATGTGTAATTTTTCTGTTTTTTTTTTTAAGAAAGAATATTGTAATTATGTATTGTAAATGAAATACTACCGTAAACTCTACATTGTAGAGTAGGTAATTTGTGTTAAGACTTATATTAAATGCCCAGTGATTATCAAATAAAATGAAAGAATAAGAAAAGTAGAAAAATCCATTTGTTTCTCTGTAAAACGCCAAAAACCATTATTGTCTACAAATATCACGACTTTCAGGAATTTTAATTACAAGTTGTCGTCTTTGCATCAGTCTTGCTATATGAGCACATAGTAAAAATGTCGTGTATCAAATGGATGAAAAAAATTTGCATTTTGTTTACCTGCTTAAGGGTTAAGCTCGTTAGAGATCACGCACTTTCTATCTCTTTTTTCATTTTTGACTTTTTTCGGTCTTTCTTTTCAATTTTTGTGCGTCGTAAGCGGAGGTAAGAGAGAGAAAGAGAGGAAAATAGAGAAAAATTAAAGGGAAGGAGAGAAAACTAGACTGAGAGAGAAAATGAGAGAAAACGAGAGAACGGAGAAAGAGAGAGACCTGAAACGGAGAATAGATCGAAAAAGATGAAAATCAAAGCAGAAACTTTTGAACCGTTGATGTTAAACGTTGTTTCTGTGTCGTTCGTCGCACACATTTAAAATAAAATTCAATAATTTAATCGGTTTTGTTGCTGAACTGCGAAAAAAATCATACATAAGTTCCAAAAAAAGTAGTCAAGGTTCTGGTAAGGGGTTTTCACTGTACTTCGAGTTTTGAACGAAAAAAGTTTTTTACATATTAGTGCCGAACTCACTGATATTTATAAATAGATCCGGTAATTTCAATAGAATCGGTCGCTTTTCGCGCACCTAGTGTTTGAAATTTTTTCAGTATTTAATCACTATGCCTCTAAATAATCAATATCCGTCTCTTTCTTTCCAGATCCGGAAAAAAAATGTTCGGTAATTTATTAAAAGGTTGTATCCGCCGCCCAAAGATACGAATAATTGATCTAAAAATCAAGTGTCTCCGTAAAATTTTCAATTATCTCAATCGCACCGACTTCTGATTTATCTACACCGCGTTACCGAATTGTGTTTTCGTTAAAAAATACGGCAATAAAAATTGTGGTTATACAAAGTCCGTGCAAGACCCTCTCCGATTTGTAACACACCTACGAATTTTTTGCTGCAACATTTCAAAACCATCCTTCAACTACTGCGCGTATTTGGCCATTTAATATCAAATAAGTGAAGATATACCATTTGTTGTACCGATATGTTTTTAGTTATGCCAACGACTATTGTTCGAAATATTTGACCGTATTGACATTGATTATGATCGCGAAAGATGCAATGGAGGAGTTCAATAGCTCCTTCACCAACTTAAAAGTGCTTTCAATGCTCGGTTGTCATTTGAGCAAACATATGACACCGTCCGATGTACTCTTTCCGAATATTTTATGTTTGAGGCTTGATTTCAACGAAGCTCCACAACCCCGAATTATCAAAGAACATTTGTGTCGGCTGAAACATGTCGAAGTAACTATCGATCAGACGAATATCAAACGGAAGAATGTTGAGGAGTTGTGCTTAAATCCACAAATACGACGATTGGAGTGCCGACTTTCTTGATGACATTAGCATATTTTTACAATTTATTGAAGTGCTGGAGTTTGGCGAACATTTTGAGGGATTTTCTGAATTTAAAGGCAAATAAATTCATTTGGGAAATGTGAAAAGTTTATGGGACAACATCAAACTACCAGCAAACTTAATCTGAGAACGACATCTTTTGATAAAAAAATCACACAGAAATCTTACGATAACAAAGAAATTAGGGAATATCAACTCAAATACCGAAAAG